GCTTATCTCTTTATCTCTTTTTTGCCCCTACAGTGGTTCACTCCAGATGGATTCCGGTCTCTCTTTGCTCTTGTTGGGACCAATGGCCAAGGAATCGGGACCAGGTTAGAATGTTCCAGAGCTATTGAACTTACTCTCGGGGTGGGAAACTGATTGAGGAAGGTAGCCACAGTTCCTTTCAAGACTGGGATGGGGTAGGGTAGGACTCTGGGCAGATCACTGAACTGGACACAGTGGCAGGAGTCAGAATCAGGCATTGGAATCTGTTTTGGGGAGCCTCTGTTGGGGAAGATGGGCCCCCACCCTGGAGAATGAAATGGGGTAGGGTGAGAGACCCTTCTTCTTGGGCTTAACTTACCTGGAGGTGGAGAGCCCTGTGACCTGGGCTTCCGCCTCCCCAACCATGGGCTGCCTGGGACCCCCAGCTCCCTAAGCCAGTGGGTCCATGCCTGTGACGCTCTGGAGTTGAAGCCTCAGGACCGTGAGCAACTTGACATCTTCATTGACCAGCTGTACAAGGACATCGAGGCAGGTTGGTGAGATAGGGCCTTGGCCTCACCCAACCATGGTGACCCCCTAGTCAGATGGTGGACACAAAATCTTTGCCCAGGATGCTCTGTATTAATGGTGGGGGAAGGTAATCCCTTTGTGCCTATGGGGAGCTTCAGCTCTATCCACAGAGTACACAGGTGAGAAACAGCCCCAAGATTTATCCAGAGGCTTGATGCTGGGAGGAGAGGGGCTGCTGGATAAATAGGGTGTCTTATAGACAGAAAAGCAAGGCTTCTGTCTGAGAGAGGCGAGTTTAGGTAATATGGTAGGGACTGATGCCTTAGTGTGGTGGGGTGGCAGGACAGTGGCGACAGTGCCTGTCCTTGTAAGCCTCGTTTCCTTTTCCTACCTATAAAAATGGGTAGAATAATGTCTGTATATTACTGTCTTACAGCAACTGGAGAGTTTCTTAACTGTGAAGGATCTGGCCTCTTTGTGCTTCAGAGCTGCTGTGAGTCATGGCGTTGAGGAGGGATGGTCCTAGGCGCGCCTTTGTCAGGTGGCCTCGCAGCCACAGTTTATCTTTCTCAGTTGGCCCTTTCTAGGCTGGTAGGGTTGAGTCTGGGAGCCCCATTAGGTCTGAGCTCCCACAGGAATTCCCCTGGGCCTTTTTGTTCTATCATTTTTTTCATTTGTTCACCCAACTGTTTGTGCTATAATACCTGCTTATTATATATAAAACCTTACAATAGGCCAGGCCCTGTACTAAGGCAGGCATAGAGCTCTGATTCTTGCAAAGGGATGCATGGGCTTTGCACCATCACTGCCCTGTGAGATTTGGGAGTACTGGGAGCCCAGGCTAGAGGGCGAGTCTCATCAGCACCTGATGAGGAGGGGCAGATTCAGCTCAGACAGCTGCCTTTTCCAGACTTCAGCCTCCCACCCCCTGGTTTCCTGACTACAAACTCCTCCTCCCAGGCTCCTGGGCCACTCTACTCTCCCAAACTGGATTCTCAGAGGGCCTGTGTCAGCTGTTATTAGATGTCCAATAGCAGGCAGAACTAAGTGGTCTTGCGTGGGCATTCCTTCAGAGCCCTGTCCCTCCGTTTGTGAGACAGTGGGAACACGACTGAGAATGAAGTTGGCCAGTCACAGCGGGTTGGAGTGGGAGTGCTGTGGAGTTCATTTGTGTTGTGCTGTATGGTGTTTAGGAAAGAACACTGGAAGCAGAGTCTGGAAACTTGGGTTCCAAAACGTGCTCAGCCTTGGCAGGGATGAAAGAGCAAGAAAGGACCCAGTACTCTGCAGAATTGAGGTTATTATTTTTTTTAGGCAGTAATCCTCATTACCTGCCTCTTGTGATCCAGGCAACCACAGTTGTGTGCCCAATGCAGAGACCTCCTTTCCAGAAAACAACTTCCTTTTGCATGTCACTGCTCTGGAGGATATTAAGCCAGGAGAGGTGAGAGGGGCCAGGAACCATGGGGATGGGTGGGTAGTGGGCCTTGGAAGTTCTCTGCAGGGATCAGGAGCAGCAGTGGCTAGAGCACTTGAAGTTCAGGCTGTTGGGTGGAATCCCCACATACCTTAGGGTCTGAGTCTTTCAGCTCATGGTTCTGTTCTAACCCTACCTCACTTTTTCAAAATATGACTCCAGAAAGCCTCAGGACAGTGTTTGAGGGACACATATGTGCTCAGATTCTTGTCCCCAGCTATCTTTTGGTCAAATGCAGATACGTAGTTTCTAAGAAAGCAGGAGATAGCTCTTTGTGGGTTTACGGTCTTGTCTGTTAGTGCAGGCACAGTGCCTCGTTGAATCTTCTTCAGGGCAAGTAGCATCGATACCAAGACCTGTGATCCCAGCTGTAGACCTTGGCCATTGACTGGCTTTCACCACGGCTTGAGGCTAACCAGTCTCCTCTGTCTCAGGCATAGGCTGTTGGAGGCTTATAATGGCCTGCTTACTGAAGGCACTGGGAACTGGATGAGGGCAGCTCGCCCCTTCACTGAAGGGCAGCGCAAGCCTGGCTCCTAGAGATGGGGCAGTGGTTGGAGATAGGGTAGGTGTTGGGGAGACCCTTATGCCATTTAAGAGAGCACAGACCATCAGACTGCACCTCTCTACCCTACAGGAAATTTGTATCAGCTACTTGGACTGCTGTCAGCGGGAGCGCAGCCGCCACAGCCGCCACAAGATCCTCAGGTGCCAGCTGGGGACATGGTTGGGCGGCTGGGCTCTGGGGTCCTCTGTCCCGTAGCTCCCTGACTTTTCCCCCTCATCATCCCTCACCGCTGCAGGGAGAACTATCTGTTTGTCTGTTCCTGTCCCAAATGCCTGGCAGAGGCTGATGAACCCAATGTGACCTCAGAAGAGGAAGAGGAGGAAGAGGAGGAGGAGGAAGGAGAGCCAGAAGATGCAGAGCTGGGGGATGAGATGACTGATGTGTGATGTTGCCCTGCCCAGAAAGGGCCCTGCCGTAGACCCTGCCAGAAAAGGGGGTTCTTCCCCCAGAGAAATGGCTCGGAGGGAACTTCCCACTCCCATTGCCTGCTTTCCCCATTCGAGCCCTCTCTGCCAGAGGGTAGGACAGAGCCTGGATCCCTGGCCCCAACCCCCACCAGACCTCATGCCCTGGACACTGCTGCTGAGTTGGCTCAGACTCTGCACTGGCACTGAGCTTTTCACAACTGGCCTCCCCTTGAGGTTCTTCCACTCTAGGGTTTGAGGGGCTGGAATCAGGGCCAGGGCCTAACAGCGTTTCTTCTCCTTGGCCCCACGGCCCATACTCACCCATTCACCGGAGGCTTCTCCCCTTTCAACTTGCTATTGATTTCTTTTGAGGGGGTAAATCTGAGACCGAGTTCATTGAAGCAGAGACGGGAGGTGGTGAGGCGCCCTCACCTCCCCCCACCACAGCTGTGGCTGGTAAGGCAACTGCTTGACCACTGGCACAGCGAGGAGAGGCGGGCAGGAGGATCTGGGCCTCCTGAGCTCCTTCCCTGAGGCGGTCTCCTGGGAATGCTGGACACCCCCAGCATTACTCACACCCCCATTTGGACATCTGGGGAAGTGGAGATTAACCCCTTCTCCAGACTCCAGAATCTTTGTAACTCGTGCCTTGCCTCTCAGGACCTGGCATAGTGGCTGGCCCTATGGAGTATGGAAAAGGCCTCTGCCTTCCTCAGGAGGGACACGTCGGGGGTCATCACCCTTTTTCACACCTGCTTCCCAATGAGCACTCAGCAGCATGGCTGAGACCTGGGGCTTGACAGGCCTCTGCTCCTTAGATTAGGATGCTCTGGTATTCCTGGGGCCAGTTAAAATGGGTCAGTGAGGGGCTCTCCTGGCCTCAATCTCCATCTTTAGGGTCTCCACAGAGGAACTCTGAAGTCTTCCAGAAACCTTGAGGAGCTGGGCTAGATACTTGGGAGAGTAGCCCTGTCTTGTCCCCTCCTATCCCCAGATCAGCACCACCCCTCTCACTCTTGGGTTGGATGTTATGGGAATTACAACCCATCATTCCCAATGCCTCCCTTTCCTGGAGGAGCCTGCCACATTCCCCTGCTGAGGGATCCCAGAGAGGACAGGTGCCCACCCCACAGGCCCTTTTCTGCACCATGGAGCCAGGTGGAACCTGTCTGGCCCCTTACCCACTGGGTTCTTACTCCTTCACAACAGTCAGCACTTGCCCTCTGCCCCCCACTGTTCTCAATAAAATGTAAGTGGTGATAGGCCTCTGCAGGAATGCTTTGTGGCTAGTGGCTGGGCAGGCTGCCCCAGGCGTGCAGCAGTCACAGGTGGGTGCAAAGGGGTACTGATTAGACCAGGTAATGGTAGGAGATGGGGGCTCCAGGCTCAACAGCTTGGGCTCACCTCTGCTCTTATTTACACTCTGCTATGCAAATGTTCTAATGCCCAAGAGCAAGGGTCTTGAGGTCCAGTTTGGGTGGCTTTTTAATTTTGAGATAGGGTCTCACCTTGTCACCCAGGCTGGTGTGCAGAAATGCAATCATAGCTCATTACAGCCTTGAACTCCTGGACCCAAGTGATCTTCCCACCTCCGCCTCCTGAGTAGCTGGGACTATAGGGTCACGCTACCACACCCAGCTAATTTTTAATTTTTCTGTACATATGGGGTCTTGCTATGTTGTTGCCGAGGCTGGTCTTGAATTCTTGGGCTCAAGTGATCCTCTCACCTTGGCCTCCCGAAGTGCTGGGATTACAGGCATGGGCCACCATGCCTGGCCCTGAGGTCCAGTTTGGATCCCCATGCTCTAACATGAGTCTTCTCCTGAGGGGATGAACTCTGGCTTCCCAGAGCGTCCTTGGCTCTCAACAGGAAGCTGTGCTGGGATCTAAGACTAGCAGTCTGAGCACTGGTCCCAAATGAGCTGGGCCAGTTTCTGTCCTCTGTGGGCGTTTCCTTTCCTCAGAACGACAGTATAGGATGAGATGAGTGAGTCTGAAGGTCCTGCCCACCCCTGTGTGCTCTTATTCTAGGACACAGTTGCAACCCTGATGAGAAGCTTTATTGCTAAAAAGTCAGTGAGGGTTTATTGAGTCGCCAAACACTAGCTCTTTAAACCACTCCAACAACTGCTGTGAAGGTCACTGTGCAGAGACCCTGGGTAGGGGAGGCTGGAGCCAGGTGAGTGTGACAGGTCACAGATGGCTCTCAGGCTGCCTACCTTCAGCTCCTTTTGTTTCAGGTTTTAGCCAGAAGCCCTGGGGCCTGTCTTTTGCCCCTTCTTGCAGCATGAGACACCCTTTGGGGCCCTGGGGAAGGTAAGGCCAGTGGTGTGGCTTCCCTTTCAGCCTAGCAATGCCCAAACTCTTTTCCTCTACCTGGCTCCACTTGTCCCCAGATGCTGTCCCCAAATTCCAAATAGCAAAATTCCTGGGTTTCCCCTTCCCAGCTCAGAGTCATTTATGGCTGGAATGTGAGACAAACTCTTCTACCAGAAGGTCCAGGGTGGTTGCAGCAGCTCAAAGGTGGGGATGCTGGTGACATTGACTGGGATGGAAATGATGGCCCATGGCAGCCCATGCTGTTCCAGAGAGCGGCGGATCATGTAGCTGGGAGGGCATGAAGAGAAGTGGTGATGGTCACTTTCTTGGTACCCCATCATGCCCCACTGTCCCCATCAATCTGGGAGTTTCAAAGCCCAAGAACTTTTTTTACCCTCTAACTGAAGTACCCCAAGTTGAGGCCTGCAAGAAGGGACTGGTGATTACCCCTGACCTCCCCAAGTCATGGCGCCCAGCCTCATGCTGATAAAGCCAGAGGCAAGGAGCCCTCACCCATCTCGGCCGAGCAGGAAGAGGGCGGGGATGTCAGCTGTGCGCTGGGTACTGTCCTGGATCATCTCCACGTAGAAGCTGTCATTGTCAACTGCGTTGTCAGAGATGATCACTGCCCGCCCGCCGTGCTCCTGGACCACCCGAGTCTTGGAGAGGAAGGAGCAGCCCCTGGAAGAGGTGGTGATGAGACCAAAGGAAAGACAGGTCCTAGCTCCCCCTTCACCAGACCATCACCCTGGGAGTATAGAAGGCAGACTCTGAAGAATTTGTTATAAAGGCTCATAAGTAAATAGCTAAAAGCATGGATAATTTTAGAACTTTTTTTTTTTTTTTTTTTTGAGACAAGGTTTTGCTCTGTTGCCCAGGCTGGAGTGCAGTGACATGATCTCGGCTCACTGCAGCCTTAACGTGGCCTCAAGCAATCCTCTCACCTCAGCCTCCTGAGTAGCTGGGACCACAGGTGTGCAACACCGTGCCCAGCTGAGTTTTGTATTTTTTGTACAGACAGGGTTTCTCCATGTTGGCCCAGGCTAGACATTTTTCAAAGACCCTTAAAAAGATGAAATTTTCAAAAACAGCTCTTTCAAAGCACTACCACCAGTAATCTCAGAATCTGCCCTATGCCTGCTCAACCCTCATGTCCTGCCTGCCCACTCCTTACCCCCTCTCCACCAGAGCAATCTGGTCCTGGATGAAGAAACCGTTGCTGAGTTCCCCACAGGCCTCTGGAGGTTCAGCGGGGACAAGGTGAATCTGCTCATACCTTGTGTGCTGAAAAACATTTAGAGAGGTGAGAGTATAATGAGACATACCAGCTTTAGGACTGGGCTGACAATCCCATCTTATTGGCACCTTGTAAAGTGTGAAGGAAACATGGAGTGGTTTCTGTATCGCCAGACACTTAAACATTTTTACTTAATTATCGCAAAGGCCTATCTGGTTGTCCTACACCACCCTACCCTTCCATGAGATAGGCAGGGGAGTTGGTTGTAGATCCAGAGAGAGGAAGTGACTTGCCTTAAGTCACATAGTTCAGAGGTGGAGCTGGCAGAGGAAGCTGGTGCTCTTGGCTTTTCACTTCATGTCCCCTAAAAACACAACTTGTCCCTCCATGGTGCCTAGGTCTATATTATACTCGGGAGTAGCTGGAAGAGCTTCCTTTTTGTGCTGCAGCTCATGGAAGGCAGAGCTGATTCTGCTCCGTTCCCTGTCCCGCACTCAGGTGGGATGAGAGGGTCACTGCAGCTCAGTGAGGGGAGGAGGGAGGTTGAGGATCAGAGATCAGGTGTCTCCCTTAACTTACAAAGATACCACCAAAGTCCTTGGCAGGTGTGGCTGTGAAGATGTATCGAATGTCCCCAGGACTCAGCACTTGAAAGTACAAATAATCATGGATACGGAAGCCTGAAGGATAAAGAGTACAGGTAAGAAGCCTCCCAGGAACAAACTGGTTTAGGTTCAGATCCCAGACCCCGTGTCTTCAGCTGGGCTGGCTATAGTCTGGACGCAGGGGCCTGGCTTCAGCCAACGGGGTCCTCTAGTGGCAGGGTTGGGGGCTAGATGGTCTCTGTCCTGGGGAGGATAGAGTTGATGCAAAGTTAGTAACCCCAGAGGTTTATATCAGCTGCTGCTGCTTACACAGTAAGCCAGGAAAACTGAGAGCTCCAGGGTTAATATTTTTGCTCTGAAGACCTGGGAGTTTCAGGGTAGAGATGTAGTGACCTGCATACAAAGCAATTCTCACTAAAATTTAAAAGTTGACTTTCTGGTCCCACTGCCACCCCCTTAGTCTAGTCACTATCATTTCTTGTCCTGACAGCTCAGCTTCTTACCTGGCCTCCCTGCCTCCATTCTTGCTCCCCAAACAACCACCAGAAGTCGAAAACATCTTAGCAATTATGAGCACATCACCATGCCTAGGGTTTCAATACCTTTCAAGAACTGCCCTTTGCATTTAAAATTTAAACTCTTTTCAAACTGTGGCCTACAAGACCCTGTTTGCTGTGGCCCCTGACCACTCTTCCAACCTCATCTTCTCCATCCTGTGTTCAAGCTACACAGACCTTTCAGTTTCTTCACTTCTCTGGGTCTTTCTGCAAGCTGTTCCCTGAGCCTGGAAAGCCCCCTACTCCCACCCCACCCTACTTCCACCCCTTTACCTGACTCTTTCCTAGTCATCCTTCAGGTCATACCTTAAATGTCACTTCCTCAGAGAAAGGTTCTGCCTCATGATTGCCCTCCCATACCCATTCAAATGTACTCTTCAATAAATGGGGACTTTCAACATAATTTGTAATTATACAGCTTTCATAATTTTTCTTTTTCTTTTTTTGAGACAGGGTCTCACTTTATCACCCAGGCTGGAGTGCAGTGGCACGATCTCGCCTCACAGCAACCTCCACCTCGCAGGCTCAAGCGATTCTCATGCCTCAGCCTCTCAAATAGCTGGGACTACAGGCATGGGCCACCATGCCTGGCTAATTTTTTTTGAGACGGAGTCTCGCTCTGTCGCCCAGGCTGGAGTGCAGTGGCCGGATCTCAGCTTCTCAGCTCACTGCAAGCTCCGCCTCCCGGGTTTA